GATAGCATCCAGCACCTGATGCAATAAATTTTCTTTTATATTGTTCAAATTTCATAAATGAAAGAATTTTTTAAAGCTTCCCTGTTTAATAATGAAATTCATGAATGATTTTTAAGAAAAGGTTGGAAGTAAATGTCTGAGAGTGACAAACCAGACAAAAACAACAAATACAATCAACGATTAAATTTATGCAGGAAACATAACACCCCGCTTAAATATCAAACCGGATTTAAGTAAAAATATTGAGAGTTTGTTCGTCTTTTAGTGTCACTCTCGAATACGGCGATGAAATAGGTGTCCCTGTGAGATTACCGCCCTGCCCAGCAGAATGCACCCCCAAATCCTTCCAAATCATTATCCGGGCCGAGGATTTCATCCTCTCCACGTCACTATTTTCCTCAATCCAACAAAAATCCAGTGGAAGGCAAGGAGATGAGGACCAACTGCTTATTCTCGAGTACAATAAAAGCCCCGGAGCTCCTCAGCACCTGGCCGACCGAATTTGGTGCTTTCGTCGTTTGGCTGTCAGAAACCTTAGTCCCTACCCCGTAGCTGTCCAAGCAGAAGCGAGCGAGGGAGAATTCTTTTTCAAAGAAGACGTTCAACTTAAAGCGCGACATCACTCACATGTCATAGAGATCCTGAACTCACCGCAAACCAAAGAACAACTGCATTCAAAGAAGTGGCTGAAAGTAGCTGCGAATGATACGCAATACGTGAGATGCTGCTACTTATTTAAAAATAACCACTTTTTCTGTGTGAAAAAGATCTCTTAATAGAGTAGAAGTACTAAAGCTGCCAGAAATTGATGGAAGAAGAAGTCAGTGAGGTATCCAACCTTAAGGACACATATTACCACGTGGAACCCCTGTGAGATCATGCTCGCAGCTTACGCCAAGACAGCATGAAGTGGATTTTAATTATGTAAAATGGAAAACGTTAGGTGCATTGATTTGAGATAAATAAATATGGAGAAGTAAATTTGCATAAACACTTTCTTACACAATACTTAAAAATCAGTCTTTTTTATCGCTAAAATGTACCGCTAGTAATCGCTTCACCTAAAAGGACTTTAACTTTTTAATTGCTACAACCTAAAACAAAATATTTGCTAAATCTCCAGACAAACATGCTTTGAAAATTAGATTTTTTTGCAGGATATATTTGGAGTAATTTAGTGCCACTACCACCAGCGTCACATAAATATGACGTGTGTTGATTATCATTTGGTGACAACTTGATGCAACAGATTGGCTGTCCAAAACAGCAAAAGCTGTGTAAATAGTCTTCGCTCGAGAATAATTGCATGATTTTATTTATTGAGCTGGTCCTGAGTAGGCCACTTTGGCATTCAAAATAATGCCGTTAGGTAAGAACACTAAATTACTTGGGTTGAGGTGGTTAGCTTCACTGTGAGACACACCAGTGGAGAATGCGGTAGTTAAATGTCAAAGAAGTGCACACTATGCATCCACCATTACTATTAAAAGAATATTA